TTGTTTCATTCTTGTAAAGCTCATTATGATTGTGCAATCGTTTATGTTGTAATTAGGAATGCACAATATATTGTTACCCACATTTTTAAAAATGTATCAGCATCAGTCGATAAGTTAAAAATCACAACAAAAATGTAACCCTTTCCATATAAATCGGATGTGCTTGAAGATCTCTTTCCTTTCAGTAGTGCATGTCGGATTGACTAACATACGGCGCCTGTGGATATAATGATAGCAGAGCCAGCTGTAAGCAGTCATACATAAAAATGAGCAGTTTAACTGAATTATTTTGGAGGGGGGTGAGTTTACTTAATCTTGACCAACGATACTCTGAAATGCATAATCAATAAATAATTAGCCATAGGGGTTCATTTTCATTTTCTGTCTTAAATAATTCCTTTTCGTTTAGATTCACATGTAAAATATTAGGCCTACTCCTGTTTTAATCTCAGAACTGTATATGTTCACAGTATGTGCATTAATATTCATTCAAAATACTGTAGGTCTTCTCAGAATCTGTTTCAGACCATACACAAACTGTTTTATTATTCTTATAATAGCCAATCAAATTATAAATTGGTTATAACTCTCTACTCTCTAACTGAAGCAGCATTTTTTTTTTCTTCCAAATAATATCTATCCAACATTCCACATCTATAATGCAGTGGACTTATTCATTTAAACTGTATATTTTTTTTCTAAATGAATAGCCATCCAACTTTCATACTCTATAATATTATGATGCCTAAATTCACTTGTCACATTTGTTGCAACTTCTGAAATGACTTCATTGTAATCAAAATGTATAATACTGTCCATAGATAGATGGATGGATGGGTAGACAGTAGATAGACGGATGTGTGTATTTGTGCGTGCTGGTGTATCAGAGGGAAATGTCTCTGTGTTTTATTCGCTGCTGGATCGATGAAGGATGGTGCTTTGATTATATTATCTTCAGAGGTCTATTCCCATTCAAACCGTTGTGCATTTACACTGTCTAAAACATCATACATTCTCATAGATCAGAGACAGCCTAATTTAATCAGCAAATCCAATCTAAATCAATGCTGTTCGCTCTCAACTCCACAGCCAAGTGCATTAGAAAATGGAGAAGTGATCTCAGGAAGAGAGGGGTGTTTGCAGGGTGATCTTAAATCCAGCGCAGACTTTTGGGAGTTTTTTTGTGATCGTATATGTGCGTACGTGTGTGGATTCCATGCTGCTCGTGGCTTTTGCCCACAATCGCATCAGCTTGAATCGACATTGTGGCTTTGCATTAGAAAGTGCAAAATAGTTTTTAAAGAGTGTTAATTTGAGTTGATTTGATCTAGTTTCTGAGGTGATGGAGAGAGTAAAAGAGCTCTTGTGTAATGCAATCCCAGAGTTTTAAGAGTGAGGTTTCCTAATTGAATTTGTTCGGCTGCTCTCTTTGTGTCTGGGTCCATTCATTAAGATTGAAATTTAGAGCTTTGTGTGGACATGCGTGTGTTTTTGTGTGTGTGTCTTTGCCAAATCTCCAAATAGAAAGTGTTCTTCTCAGATTAGGAAGTAATTTTGGCTCTCAGAAGAGATTAGGTGAAAGGCATGAAGTGAAGGGACAGAAAGAGAAGGACGAAAATAATAAAGAGAGAATCTCTAGCTCACTAAAACAGATAGATAACCCCGATCAGAGCCTAATGGAATTAGAAGTGAAGGATCAGATGCTTTTGTGCCCATATGTGTGTGTGTGTGTGTGTGTTATCCTTTTTACCAGCAGAGTTTAGCAGTAGGTGTAAGACCCTAAGCCTCATTTTAAATGACAGAGAAGAGAAAATTATGGAAAAACTCAGCATGTGTGCAGGTGCTGCAACATCAGATGGAGTTTCTGTGATCTCAGTGGAGACAGATGCAGACACTTGTGGATGCTTATTGTGATGCTTTTACGGACCATTCAGCTTGTTGTAATTCAAGTAGAAGTATTAAGCTTAAGTATCTTAAAGTAGAATGTGTTGTTTTGCAAAGATAAAGAGACCACTGAAAAAAAGGTGAGAAAAGAGGTTTAGTAACACTTCACTTGAAGCCTATGCATATTATGCTTTTTAAAGATACTTGTTATAAAGGTAAGCTATATAATTAATTAAATCTTATATATGTCTGAATGCTATGTCCTAATGTATTTGTCTTTTTTATAGCTATAATGCTATAATGCAGTTCTTGTAGTATATACTGTATAATGTAGTACTTGCTACTTTCAGCAAATACCAGTCATAAATTCCACTTTCAATAACAGATTTTTGTGTTGCTAGAAAGTATCAGAAGCTTGACAGAATGTTGTTTGCCAAATGTTACTGTGTATCTGTGCTTTTTTGTACTACAATATTGATTTTTTTTTTCAGTCCTGCTTCCAAAGCTTGAAATGGTTGAAAACATTTTAAAATGTATGTGATTTAGTTTTGAGGGGGAGGGTCAGTGGGCCAGGGTATGTGGGCCTTTTCTGATATTTCAATGCAATATTGTGAATTAAGCTTGCCCAAATCCCACAAAGCGATTTTTTAAAAAACTATTTCTGCATGGATAAAAAATTCTACTACACAGCAGTCAAAATTGTGCTGAGGGGGAAAAAAAGGGAAAAAGTCACATATAATTTGGAAGCAAATCATTTACATTTTCACCGGTATTCAGAACAGATTAAGATAAAATTCAGAAAATATAAGTAGCTATGAAATTATAGTACAAAATTATATATAAATTAAAATAAAACACAAATTGTAATAGCATTCATTATAAACAACATAGGCCTATAAACATCTAGCAGTGCTATTAATGATATACTGTGTATGTGAGAGGCTCCGGTATGATCACGGATATTGTCTACAATATTCAGTAATTTTTTGTCTTAAAGATAGGAGTAAGACATTATTTGAAACTGTAAAGGGTTTATTTTTATGCGTACTCACAATAAGAACAAAACTCTTCCTTTGTAAAATAAAGAAAACAAACAGGAGGCGCTTTCAGCCATCTCTGGTGCGGCCATAAAAATGAAACAAAATAGAGTTTTTTTTCCTTTTGCTTTGTTAATTTGTTAATTATTTAACTGAAACATATTTTGTGTAGGCTTATTTATTTTATTCCTTTCATGTCATTTTTAGAGGTCGACCGATAGGGGTTTTTCACTGGTCGATGCCGATATTTAGAAATCAGAGCAGCCGATGGCCGATATATGCTGCTGATTTTTTTGTCCGATATGGTTGGCCGATACGGCTGTAATCAAATACGCTACTCACAAACGCTACTTTATCAGGCATTACAGGAAAGACGAAATGAAAATGACACCGAAGCTTTTCTGAAGACGGTCGGTTCTTTTCAAAGATACATCCATATAAAAACACCAACGCTGCATTTTAATTTTGAAACGTGCAGTGATCAGTTTATTCAACGAAGTAATAACTCAATGTATGGGAAACACTGGACACTGCTATAAGTCAAATGGCCAAGTGATAACAAAAATAAAAGATTTCACACATATTACACAGCCTGCTGCTCATAACTGCTTAAGAGTGCACTGGCCACGAGCGATGACATCGTGGATGCTATTGTCGGACCTACACACACATTTCACGAGGAAAGTTAACGTGCACGTTATAATCAGCCCAGAAGTTTCGTCTGAACTGCATGTGTTTCTACTTTCACATGCAAATGACTTGTTGCATTTATGAATATGATAACTTTCTGGCATGAATTCTAGTGGGGTAAAATGTAATTACGCTTTCGAAACGGTCTGTTTTGCCCTGCCATCATTAGCTGAAGCTGTGTGTGAACAAGAAGCGGCTGCAGAGTGTGAGTTGCTCCGTCTCTCGTCACGCAGCCAGAGAGAGATTCTCCGGCGTTCCACAGCAATGCTTAGCTGCCCGCAGATGCACCTGCCTATAAATCGGCCTAATTTGCAGCACAATCAGCCGATGCCGATTAATTAAAAAATGGCAAAAATCGGCCAATTAATCAGCCGGCTGATCAATCGATCGACCTCTAGTTATTTTATTCTGTTTTTCTGCTGTTGTTTATGCGCATGCAAAACTAAGCCACTGAAAAGAAAAACATTTATTTTTAATGGGTCACATACACTTGTCAATTGTAATTTAGGTTGTTGATGAGCTTATATTTCCCACGAATAAAAGAAAAGTATTTGCTTGAGTAATTTTAATCATATTTACTGACAGTATAGGCTTCAATGGTTGAGCTCAACAAATGCGCTAATATTTGTGTAAAAATTGAGAAAATGAAATGAGAGATTATTTGTTTTCCTGTTGTGTTTTAGAAAGGGCCCCAATGATGTAACTTTCTTGGTGTGACAATTTTATGGAATGATTGAACAATAAATTGAGTATCAGTTTAACAGATTATCTCAACACTCTGATATTGTTGTATAATTTTTATTGTTGGATAGACTTAAAAACCACTAGACGAGTGTGGTGGGACAGGCCAAAATCACAGGTTGTGGTAACTTATTTACAATTTCACATGCTTTGGTAATCTTTGATCTCTGGTCTTTTTGTTAGATAATAGTTTATCCAACATATATAAGAAAAGGAAAAGGACACAGATTTGTACTCTATTCGTTGCCACTTTCAGTACCTATTTACGGGTGCATCTTTAAAGAGTATAATGCAGATGATAACACATTAAATAACTCAGGAAATTGGATGCTGATTATGTATTTTAATGCATTATACTTTTATATATTATACATGAGGCCACACAAATGATTACAAGCTGTAGGGCATTAAAATGCATAAAGAATGCCTTTATAATTCATTATACATATATGCTGCAACGTGAAGTGTTACCAAAGGTTTTTTGAGTTTGACAAGAAAATAGAGTCTGTACAAGAAATGAGGGAACGGTTTTTAAAAAGAATCCATTTCTCTCTCAGGAAATGGACGCTTTGAAGACTATCATTAAATATTATAATTACATCTCTTTTTCTCTTGCTCTTTCTCTCTTTCTTATCTTTCCATTTCAAGATTTGCCTTCCAGCCCCGTGGCTCAGTTCAGCTTTCGTCCGCTGCCCCCTCCTCCTCCACCGCCCCACGCGTGCACCTGCGCTCGTCCAGCACCGGCTCCCCTTCCAGAGGTGGTGCAGAGGAGCACGCTTCCCGCCCGATGCCAACCGCTGGATTCCGGGAACAAAGCTGGACAGGATGACAACGGGCAGACGCACAATACCTGGGCACTGAACAGCAACATACCACTAGAGACCAGGTGAAATACAAACACATACATATTTGTTTTTCTATAGTAGTGGGGTCTTTCCATCTGACTTGTATTGTTTTATACTGAGTAGGGTTGGGCCGATAGACGATGCCATCGTCCATCGCCGATGGCTGATAGACATCACGATGTTGAGCCGGCATCGCGATCCCCAACCCCCCCACCAATCCGCCGCATCCCAATACCGTGTTCCGAAAGAAAATGACGTGTAATATGGAACCCCTAAAGGGAATAAATACGCGATGGGAGGAAAATATATATTTCAGTATTTTCTCTCGCAGTTATATCATTGGCCAATTATACTGTATATAAATTGCGGGCATCAGGGAGCCGCTATTATGCCTGGCATTGAAACTATTTTTGAATGCTCGATTGCTTTTTAGTTTCACTTTCACTTTCGAGATTCGCGATCGCACATACTCTGTTTATACTGGAGCGGCAGAACTTACCACACATTTTACAAGATTATATGTTTGTCAGTGGTGCTCAGGATCTGCAAATCATTCGCCATCATCCTCTGTCATCTCCCCTTACTCTGTTTATGTGGTAAGTGAAATTTTATGTACTGTAATGTAACAGTCAACCGTTAGCAATCGTTATTTGCCCCCCACCCCCCCCACCCCGATGGCGTAATACTGAGGAAATGATGTTTTGGTTCCCATTAAACTACATCTAAACCTCACCTTTCTGCAGTTTAACATTTTCATTAAGACATTTAGTGTTTTGTAAAGCCATTTTCCTCGGTTCTTCATCCACTTTGTACGCAAAAATTGGCACACACACAGAGACTCTGTTTTTTCAACCTCAAGCAACCAAGTTTGGCAACTTTCAAAAGAAAAACCCAATTAATTTTTTAATGTTAAGCCTGGATAATAAAACAGACAAAGGAAGGTCTAAATCTTCAAGAGAAAGAGAATATGCATGAGTATATGTGTTTGTCTGTGGACGACAGATGGAGAGATATGATGATGAAGATGAAGATTGAGGGTTGACCTACTCTTCTGAAAGAGAGAAATGGAAGAGTAAATAAATGATGAAGGATAGACATGTCTGCTTTGAGGGAGGAAATGAAGCTGTCTTCCTGGGGTGATTGTCTTACACACACACAAACCCCAAAGATATTGATGAAAATGAAAGCGGCGTGCGTGTGCATACATATGAGTGCGTGTACGATGGCTTTTCTAGATTTCCAGCAAGGTGAATTTGGCAGTAGCGGTCAAACTTATTTAGACTGAGAACTTGAACAAACAACCGTAGCTGAGTCACATATCCGCTCTGATGCCGATAGCTGGAGAGAAGTTTATTGTTTTCTGATGATTTACCACGTTGGTCAAGCATGTAGGGCTCTTTGTCACGTTGTGATGAAATAAAGCCACCATTATACAAATCCAGCTGTCTCCAAACAACACCTAATAACAGATTTCAAGTGTTCTGAACTACACTAAGCACCGCGGCACCTTTTCTAAACTCCACACGCAGCAGGCAGCAATGGAATGTTTATGCTTGTGGCTATTCGATGAATGCTGGGTAATTTAGCCCTTCCGTATTTTTCCAGCAGCTCCAGTCCTGTTTTTCAAACATCACTTAATGCTGTTGAAAGGAGATTGAAGTGTCTGAAAGAAGCCAGCAGTAGGAGTGTAGACATGTAACCTCACTTGCTTACAGAGTTTCCATGGCCGTTCACTTTGGCTTGAAACAGGGCACAGAGCGAATGTCGCCCATTCAGATGTTTTCTTTGAGATTTGGGGGTTAAAGAAAAGCAGATTTACCAATTTTGTAGAGTGGTTCGAAAAATCCTGCCAACTGCCGCAGGAAAGTCCTCAGGTTAAAGGGTTGCCTGAGAGATTCTGGCCGGTTTAAACAGCAGCTCGAGCCCAGCGCCCGATGACATTGTCATTGTGTCATCATCATGGTGATGGCTATACCTGCTGACATGTTGCTGTCTCCCAAATGAACTTTCTCAGTTAAATCTGGATCAATAGACCAACATTAATGCACAGAGGAGAATCACTCCCATCAGCATATTATTCCGAACACTCGCTGATTCAGTCACCATACGCTGCATATGTATTGTATGTCATTTTTTTAACAGTCATTCCCATGCAAATGTGCCTAATTGATTTTTAAATGAAACTTCCAAAAAAAAAAAAAAAGTTGCCCAGTTATTGTGCATAAAATAATAATATATGAAATGTCCTACACCTGTACCCAACTTGGTTTTGGATGGGCACACCTTTTTGATATTTTTCACATAAAAAATACATTGAAATGTATTGATATTTAATATATAAATATGTTTCATATATTAAAATATTAAGTAAATATTTTAATATATGATATATATTGAAACATTTATGTTTATCGAGTCGAAGCTGCTCTTTTTCATACAATGGAAATGCATGATAATCAATTAAAAAGTACTTTTTTATGCCTTATCTTGCATTAGCCATGTTGTCACTATAGAGTTATTTCAATCTGAGATTGTTTTATGAGATTGTTTCAGTTTTTCAGGAGTGTTTGGTATTAAAATCAGCCACATACTGACCATGCAAATTCAAGGCTCTGAGATTTCAATAAGAAAAAGCAGCCAGTGGAGTAGAATTTATTTTGAGACTGTAGAAATCTGATTTGTAAAACTATGATCCTTCATGTTCACACCTTCTCTTTTCTTTCTCTCTTTTTGTCTTTTTACCTTCATCTCGCTCTTTCACTTTGTTTTGTGAGTGTTAATTGTTATTTATTTATTCTACAGTAAATAAAGACAGGATTAGTTCTGCGTGTCTAAGTGTGAAATTAACTTTCTCTTTTAATGGCTGAGGTAAACTGTAATTTTTCTCTCAGTCTCAAGCCTCATTTTACCATTGCATGCTCATTTAAACGCTCCTTTCAGGGCTTTGTACGGCATCCCTGTAAGACACTCTAAACAAATAACCAAAACTTGCTTGTGTGTTTCTGGGTGTATATTTGACCCTGAAAGAGTATCTGCTCTTTTCTTTACATTTCGACATTTGTATCCCTTGGCAGAAATTTTTTTTTATTAGGATTGCTAATTTAACACATTCATTTCATACAATGAATTATATAAAACTATAAATGTGTTTTAAAAAATTACACCTATTTGACACTGACAAACTGAAGTTTGCTAAACTGATTGATATGAAAAAATAGACAATATATGTCCATCTAATGGCACTTTTTGCAATGCCTCAACAATATTTCTTATTATGATATCCAATTAATTGATGTATCCAATATTTTTCATGATCTATCCAATTAATTATCCCATCTGCACAAAATGTATTACATTTTATTAAAATTGTTCATCTGTTGTCAGCCATAATTGTATTTTTATGTACAGTGGTTTTGTGAGTCTCCTCATGTAATCGCGGTCAGGTTTTGCTAACTTTGTAGGGCCCAAAGGTCCCCAGAAATATAGTAAAACCTGAAACGACCTATTTTGCGGGGACCTTTGGGAAGACACAACAATGAAAACAACACCATAAATAGACTAAACAGTGTTTCAATAAAAATCGAAAAATGCCAAAAGCTGCGTGTTGGGGTGCAGTTTTGTTTTGGGAGTAGTAATTAACTTAATTTAAAGAACAACAGATGGGTAGTCTCCATTATAATATAAACAGAGACGCGCGTGTGTGTGTGTGTGTGTGTGTGTGTGTGTGTGTGTGTGTGTGTGTTCAGTTTTTCACCATCATCTTCGGTCCGTATTGATGTCATCATGCTTTTTTGGTCTCATCAGCATATGAACTTGTAAATGTGTTTAGACTGATCTACCTTTCAATGATTTTGGTCCTTTTTATTGATTGATCCTTTGTGTCTTTGGAAGAGTTGCACACATTTACCCCGGTCCAGCTCTAGCTGATGTTGCAAAGAGATCAATTGCTGTTGAGAATCCATGTGTATCTTGGGAATTTGAAGATCTGTCTTCTGTTGCCTTTGGGCTTTTAACCTAAAAGCTGTAGCCAATTTCCCCATGGCTATCTGTCAATCTGTCTGTCATCGTGATGACACGACTAAACGGCCATGTTTCTGCGCCCATGTGCCTCACAGACTAACCGATCTAGCCGCATGTCAGGATAAAAAAAGGGAGCTTTTGGTTTTAAAGTGAAAGAATAACTACAAGGGCTTTAAGAACTCAGGTGTCCTGCATTGTGACATGATGTACTTTTTTTTCTAATTCTTATAAAATTGTTATGCATCAAGTTTTTGTAATCACATATTAATTAAGAGACTATGTTATAAAATTTCTAAAATTACTTCATTTTATTTTTACACACCAAAGGACTGTTTCAGTGAATTTCAAGAAAGCGAAAAGATGGTTCGAATGGTAGAGAGAAATTACAGTGTACACCTAAAATATAAAAATATTGCCCATATATTTATATAAATTCCACTTGAAATCTTAATATACAATTTATTGAGTTAGTTTGTTTTTATTTGGTAACTGCCCACCATTGTAACATTACTGATAGTTGCAAGATATTGGAAATTGTTTTTAAGTAGGCACCTTTTAATTACTCTAAGAATGGACTCCTCTGTGTAATTAATATCATAATTAATCTAAAGGATGTTATCTATTAATAATGGCTCATTAATCTCTGGTGCTAAATATCTGTAATTAAATGCACGTGCATGAGAGCAAATGACTCCAATTAGTAACCAAAGCAAGCGAGAGTGATCACACGCTCCGATCGCACCTTTCTCTTTTTTTTCACTCCATCTCTTACTCTCTCTGTCTCTCTTTGACTCCGCCTTCCAGGTGTGATTTGTTTTTTGAGGTATTCGTAATGTAATCGATTGACAAATCAAATTCCTTTCCTTTACAGGCACTTCCTGTTCAAGCATAGTTCAGGTTCGTCTACCATTTTCAACGCGGCCAATCAGAATTACCCTCTGACGTCCAGCACGGTGTATTCGCCGCCTCCGAGGCCTCTACCCAGAACCACCCTCTCCAGACCGCTCTTTTACAGAAAAACATTAGGGTAAAAGGTTTCATCCATTAACGCTTGAAAGGCTGCAGTTAATAAAGTTTCTGGTCAGAAGTTCACACGGCAGCCTCTTAAACACTAATCATGTGTTTCTCGCTAATGAAACGAGGACCTCTGCAATTCCCAAACAGGTTATAATGACTTCTTGAGAATCTGACATTTGTGATGTTCATTTCTGTTCTACAATGTGTATATCTGTTCTGAACACATTCCATTTGGAATTATGGCTTCCCACAGAACAACTCATTTTTGTATATATACAATAACAGAGCGCAAATGGAATTATTTTCAATGATTGTTGTCAATGCTGAAAAAACAAACAAACAAAGAAAACAGTTGTACTGCCTTACATTTGTGCGAAAATCATCAGGATTCCTTAATAAATAGAAATAAAAAAATGCATTTATTTGAAATAGAAATGTTTTGTAGCATTATAATTGTCTTTACTGTCCCATCTGATCAGTTTGATGCATCCTTGTTTAAAAAAAAAGTATTAATTTCTTTTAAAAAATTGTACTCGTCCAAACTTTTGAATGATGTGTATTATTATTATTATTATTATTGTTATTTTGCTAAACACAATTTGCACTGCAGGTCAGCGGATGAATATTGAACACAGCATTTTTAAGTGAATTTGGGTTTTCCTACATTCTGCGGATGATGTTAATTTTTTAAATGTTGTCATTTTTTTCATCATTCATGCCAGAGAAAGGGTTTGCTAGATGTGTGTGTGTGTGTGTGTGTGTGTGTGTGTGTGTGTGCTCTGGAGATGTGCCGTTAATGATCATATGGCCATCTTTCACCCCATCGTTAGTGGCACCCTGTCTAAATAGATGCAATCCGTCTGCATTGTCTCTTGGCTTTCATTCTTATCTAACAATCTAAATGTGTTCTCAGTTCATTTTCTGGGCAAATGAAGGGAAGCAAAGGGATAAAGGGAATAAAGATAAAGAGGAACATAAAGAAAGAATGAATCCGCATTATCTTCACATACTGAACAAAAACTTTGGTCCTGTCGAGTAAAAGCATCAACGATGAGAAGAAAAGGATCCATAAAACATGGTAACTGAAAACGTGACTGTGTTGTGTGCCGGTGCTGAAGTCTAATTTAATTGGCCAGTAGGCGTATCGTAAATATCCGATCTGAAATGTCCCATTGTCTTTTAGGTTAATGTTAGGATCAGGGCAATATAATTCTCCACTAAATCTTCAGGTTATAAGTAGGCATCCATTACGGCTTTCTACATTGATTATTGGGAAAAATCTGTGGACCGGAGCAAAAACAAAAACCTTGTTGTCATAAGTTATATTTATTATTTATTTTATTTTATCTTATAAAAATATACTTTTTTTAATCTAGTGCTTGTATATAACCTGCAGTATTCCTTTAAATACAGTACAGATTGTTAACTGGAGCTGAGTCTAATATTGGTAGCTAAAAGCATTATCAAATTAGTCTTAATATTTAAAAAAAACACGGGGTGAGATGTGTGTAATTTTATGGATGATGGACTTTAAAGGAAGTTAAATCATTAGAGCTTTTTGCTGAATTCTGTTCAGGTGCGAGTATATAATTATCATTAGGGAAAGAATAAGGGACAGTATGGAGTTCACCGTTTAGATTAAGGTCAGATGTTTTAATAGGGTGTTTATCCTAAGAGAAGGGTTTTAATTGGTCTGTGTGTATATTTAATTGAATGAATTTAATGAGGCTGTATCGTCTGGCCCCACCACCATTTTTACTTTAACAAGCACACGTTAGCTACCAGATTTGCACACTCTATGAAGACATTAAGTAGGGTGTGAATGTGTGTGTGTTTTTGTTATGCCCTAATTGAGTCAAGGACCCTGCAGGGACAGAGAGAGAGAGGCAATCAATAATTGTTGATGAAAATGTATCAAAGGCATTGAGTGAATTTGTGTGTGTGTGTGGCTTTTAGACTTTTAGACATTATACTTATTTTCTGAACGTCATGATGCCTTGCCCCATAATAACAGAGCGGCGCACCAAAGATTTTATTACGTGTGTGAGTTTTTTGGGTGTGTGTCAAAGGTAGGTGTCTGTGGGTGTGCGTTGCTCGCTTCGGAGGGATAAATGGGAGCTGTTTTTGTATGAGTGCAATGACCCAGATAGCTGATAGTATCCAGGGGACTAAGTAAGATGGTTTCAGCGAGAAGAACCTCCATCTATCCAAACTAAGAATGTCAGCACAAAAGGTAAAATGTACAGCCACATCAGCCTAGGCTTTAATTATCCTGATTTATTGTGCTAAAGTGGCTTCAAAATCTGTCAGAAGAGATGTCAGAAATCAAAGATAATATTGTAGTTTCAAATTTGTGTGTGTGTGTGTGTGTGTGTGTGTGAGTCATAATTTAGTTTTAACTATAAGGAAGCATTTTAGACAGCCTTTTAGCAAAGCCTGCTTTACACTGTGACACGACAGAATGAAATGAGCAGATCTTGTTGTTGTAATGATTTACATTTGGCATAATACTGTATATACACTAATAGGCATTGCTGATGAAAGGTGGGTGGTTATATGTTAATGTTTCTGCCATCACATCCAAGGATTTCAGGATGAGCCGTTTTTATCGCTGAATTACAATATATGGTATTTTTGAACTGTGGAGGAAGTTTTGAGTTCTAAAAGTTTCTTTATTATTTTATTACAGTGCATTGAACTCTTATTTCAAAAGATCAAGGAAAATTCGATCTCTCTTTATGTGATTCCTTTAAACCTGCTTCACCAAATAAACAATAGAGAAAAATAAAGTGAACTCTCCTCCACTTGATTCTCCAAAAGGGTCCTTGGCATCAAACTTTGAAAACCCCCTGGCTTATGTGACTAAACGACTGGCTTTAGAGATGAACTGGACAACCTCATTTATTCCACAAATTCTTTTTAATGGATGTGGATTTACTGAATCTAATAGTGATAAAAATCCACTGGTTAATGATGGAGCAGTGCAGGACTGGAGTAGATGGAGCTTGGCAGGACGGAATGAGGTGAGGCAGGATGTTGATGGGCGTGGCAAGCTTAGACTGGGTGTGGCATTATAGGAGAAGGCAGGGCAGGGCATACACAACATTAAAAGCAAAAAATGTCATGCAGCAGGAAGCAGTAGACATATGAGGATGAGTGTGGGAGTAGTTCTCACTCTGATGAATCTAGCATCTGCTGCTGTATTATTCATTTTCACTTTATACACACTTGCTGTTCCTGATGTTTCCTTCTACCTGAAACATGCATAATACAGCAGCCACATATGTGATCTATATGTGCACACGCATATACATGTTTCAGCTAGAGCTGTCAGTCTCAGTTGAATGCTTCAGGGCTATTCAGTGCTTTCATCTTTCATAATAATGTAATGTCTTTTAATCATCCTTTAAAGGATTTTCACAGCAAATATAGATATACAAATAGTTTGATTAATTAGTGACTGTCCTAGTTTTCAATTTTACTAATGCAATTTTACTAATTTGAAGATGTGAAAAGGACTTCATGGCTTCAAAAGCGGTTGAAAATGGATGCATGTTTATGGATCATAATGTGTCTTTTATGATCAAAACACTAGATCAATGGAAAAAAACCTCTGGAACCCACAAGCCCCCACTCTGCAGAGCTGCTTTCTGCCATTTGCCTTAAAAGGGAAGAAATCAAACAGTTGCTTTTTTTGTGTATCTGTTTGTGTTTGCATGTTTGTTTCCAGAGGAGAAAGACACACCCTTAGGCCTAAGCAGTGGGGGGTTTTAACTGATGGAAAGGAAGACATGTTGTTCAGAGAACACATATACCCTTGCATTTGTATATGTGATTGTCTTTGTGAGTGAAATGCCAGTTGTCACAGGGATCTATCCAAATAAACGGGCGTTTCTAAAGCCTGTACTTAAAACAATTAAACAGGTTGAGAGGTGAAGCTGTTTTAAGGTCCTTTGGTTACAGCTCATTTAGAGTGATTGGATGACTTCATTAACATGTTAGTCTGTGCGTGAGAAAACAAGATGAGAGGAGTTTCATCAGATAAAGCTTTATCTCTGCTTCATTTTTTTCTGCTTTGGGATGTTTCTGCATATTTAATGCCAGATGTTTTCTGCCTTTTTAATAGGGACCAACAATATTGCAATACTATATTGTTTATTCAGTATATTTTGCATGCTCATTTCCCCTTATTTTTACGTTTTGATGACCTTAGTCACCATCTAACTCTTTTTTTTTCTTAAAATTGTTCAATTTAATCTTTAGCAAATCTCAAAATGAATATACATTTTTCACAGTGTGTCCCTAGTGAAAAATAAATATGCTAAAATGTATTTGAAATACAATTTATTTTGTGTTAAGTATACTACAGATACATTTACTGTACATAATATATACATAAAATACCCTGCAATTGTACTTGTGGTATACTAAACTGATATACTTAAAGTCTGCTAAATTGGAACGACTATTTTTGTTCTTAATTTACTTTAATTGTGTGGAAATAATGCTGAAGTCCAACTAAAGACATACTGAAGTATATTTGATTGTGCTAAAGTGGAACTATTGCTAGTATACTTCAGGTACACTTTAAATGTATTGCGTTTAAAGACCGATATTATTCAAAGATCATACAACAGCTATAACAAAATAATGAATAAAAAGAAAGATCGTTGAATTGCATAGCTCAGAATATTTGGTCTGGAAGAATTAGATAAAAATGTTTGAGTTCTTATTGAAATCTCTGACTTTCAGTTGCAGATTTTGGGATCTTGGCAAATCTGAATCTCAAGTGAGATGTAGTTGAGATCTCTAGAGGGGACACATATGAGATTACGAGGGTACTTTTTACTTTCTCTCCGAAGAAAAATCTCTCTCTCTCTCTCATTTTGCTTTCCATTTAATCTAATTGCTTCTAGGAGAAACAATTGAGATTTGCATTTATTCATTTAGTAGACGCTTTTGAAAAGTGCCACAATAAAAAGTTTCAAAATTGCTCAGAAGAGTACAAAGTACAAGCTATTACAGAGATATAAGTAAGAGGGTAGAGAATAGAGAGGTTTTTTCCATTAACGGTTGTGAGTTGTTTCTTTGGAGGTAGAGAGGGATTCAGCTCTTCTGATGGTGTCCGATGGAGAAGATCATCCCACCATCAAGGTATATTGAATGTGATGGTTCGAGAGAGTTATTCTGCACCTCTTTGTGCTGGTACTACGACTCTCTCTCATCGACTGCAGATATCTGGAGGGAACATTGATTTACAGAAGTGAGAGGAGGTAGGAAGTTGCAGATCTGGTGAGAGTCTTGAACTTGATGCAGGCAGCAACTGACAGCTTGTGGAGTGAGACAAAGAGAGACATAACATGTGATCTCTTAGGTTCATTGAAAACCAGATGCACTGCCGCATTCTGAATCATTCGCAGAGGTTTGATTGTGGCTGAAAGAGCATTACAGTAGTCCGGTCAAGTGAGCTTTGGCAAGGAGTTGTGCTGCATGCCTGAATAGGAAAGGGTTTAATTTCAGTCAGAGGTTTCAGTTGTAATTTTTGCTTAAAAGTTCTACTCGAGAGTGAAGTGTGTAAATTCTGCATAATAATTGAATTATAATTCATGGAATCTGTAGATCAAGCTGGGATAGAAGGTGTTTTAGCATCAAAATAATGACACGCATCATCTTTTGATGCACCTTTTGACAGGCATCTCATCCCCATTTTGCGTATTTTTCTCCTTTTATCTGCCAGCTTCTGCCTGGTGTGTGTGGAAATGAATGAGAGTATGCATTCGCAGATTAATTCCACTTCATTTGCATTCGTCAGTTCACAGTCAGCTTTTATCAGCAGCAGTCACTTGTCATTTAGCAGGCTCCTTTGAACCAGGGTGATGTACAGTGCTCTGGGTGCACTGAAGAAACCCACAGTTTAGGATCTCTCCTGTGCTTTGCTTCTCATCCTGGGTTTAGATGGTTGTGCTTCTGGCTCAGATAATTAAATACAAAAAATACAAAGCTTTTACCACTCCTGAAATTATTAATTGATGCTATTGTAATTTGGAGGAAATCATCTGGGGCTGCGCAGAGACATCAATTTTTTGGTGTGATAGGTGCTGACAAGTAATGTTGGAAAAATGACCAGAGATTTACTTAATTATTGTAGTGTGTGTTTTGTTTTTTGTTTGTTTACTCCCTATTAAAGTAATGCTCAAGTAATGCATCTTGATGCAGTGTTTTTATCACAGTGTAATATTTTTACCATTACTGTTTTATATGTATGCAGAAGATGCTCATAAATATTTGTTATGCGAAATACATCATGCAATTGTTATGATCCCACTTATTTTGTTAAAATTATTGAATGCAACTATGGTGCATCTTATTTTGTGATTTCACTGGAATAAAGAGCATTTGAATAGAGAAATACACACACGCGCACACACACACACACACACACACACACACACACACACACACACACATATATATATAAACGTGGAAAGCGTACACACACACATATATATATATATATATATATATATATATATATGTGTGTGTGTACGCTTTCCACGTTTACTGAAAACAGAAGTATTTATCTGAGGATCTATTTTACTCTGAATAATCCCCTTAATGGCTGTTAAAAAAAACGTTAAAGTTGAAGTTCTTTTTGAATTATAAAACGGAAGCACTGAAGTATTATCCTTCCTATCCTAAGTGACATAGGATGATGTTCAGCCTCATATAGTCGACATTTCATTTCTCTAAAAATCTAAATGCTCTCCGTTCCAGTGAAATCACAAAATAAGATGTACCACAGTTACTGATATGCATACTTTAAATTGACTCACAGATGTAGTTTCATTTATTTCTTTTCTTGTTTAAAGTCGTCAGTCGAAAAAGATTCTAACTTGTGATTTCTCACACTTTACACAGATGTTTTCTTCTGAACCAGTTCAGCTCATTATCAGGTAGTGGGCTGAGCCCCTCCTAAAACTGAAACACTAGAATAGGCCTACACGGGAAAAGGGTTTTGTGGTTTGCCCATTTGCCCTCTTCCCAGCATGCACTGGGGCATAAATAATTAATATAATTGCATTTGTTTGCCAGTTTTATTTACATTGTTGTTATTGATTGTGTTGGGATCATGTTTGGTAAGTAGATGTTTTGTGATTTCAGGCTTTGATTTTCTGTTCCTCTACATAAAACCATAATATAATTGAGTGTTAGCCTGAGGTCTGTGTGTGGCTTTTTAAGGTATTTCATGAGTATGTGTGTCATGTAAGTCTTCATGTAACGATTTCAGTAGTTTATATAATAAGTATCTCTCCATTCATATTTCTTGTAATATTTAACTATTTTAAACCAGGTTACAATGACGACAGATCTTAAGTTTTGCTTCAAATGAATTATGATTCATTTTTTAGCCATTTAATGTTTTATTTTTTTTCCTTCCTTCCATGTTTATTTATACTTTTCAATGATTTAGTGAAGCTGTCTTACATAAGAAAAGGAAGAGGGCTAAAATTTGAGAAGAGAAATTTGATTGACAGTCTTTCCAGTCATCAAAGATCGTCCTTTCTTTTTTTTTGCATTCAGTCACCTCCATTCAAGTTTTCCATAAATATGAAGAAAATGACAGATTTATACTAGCAATCATCTCAGTCCTTAAAGATAGGAAGAGTTTTTTTTTCTTTTTCTTCAAGAACGAGGCGTCTATGTTCTCTCCTTACTAAAAGGGAGGGTTTATCTTCTCCTCTGGAGGAGAAAGGCCTTATCTTCTCCTTAAAACATTTGTCTTGTGTCTTCACTTTAAAGTCAAGGAGTTATCTCCATTGGGCAAAGTGTCGAGGTCAGGCTACGGTGGCGTCCTCTGGAAATACGAGCCGGCGGAATGTTCACGCGAAGCATTTTTACATCATCTCAACAAGCGGCGATCAATTCCCACAAACTCTCCTCTCCTGTCATTGGCAGTAAGCCCCTCCCTCAGAGGCTGTCCGCCCAGCCTCATAACTGCTCTATTAATTTAACCTGAACCGCCCGTCTACAGCATTACTCATCTAAACAACATTTCCATCATCTCAGAACAGCAGCTGGATGCGAAAACGTCCGCCTCCTGCCCGTTACATCCCCTAATTCAATATCTTCCAGACCATTCTCTCTAGATGTCCTGAGGGGGATCGGGTTTTTGCCCGGATGCGGAGCTTGTGCCTTTTTCAACATTGACTCGCCGCCACAGCGGCCAGCCCACAAAAGCTCATTGTTCTCATTGACCGATAGCCAGGACACACAATAAACGAATCCATTTCTTTTAGGCCAGCTTCCTAGCCGAGGATATTAACAAACTGTGGCGTGACAGTAAACTCAGAGAGCTTAACCATTTCTCAGTCTCAGGGCAGTCTGCTATTCAGCATCAAGGTTAAAGCCGGCTTTGATGTATGTGGGACTTTTGTCTAGTGAACAGCTCTCAGTCCTTTCCTGTGAAATGCGCCTCTTTGTCTTTCTCTTTATCTCTCTCTCTCTTTTTTTTCTCATGCATGGGCACACGCGCGCGACACGTCTCGTAGTCAGTGTTGTATGTTTCCAGCTCTGTCGGGTGCTCTACAAATCATGTTAAAATCTGTTGATTTAACAAAAGCCTTGATAAATGGTGTCCTTCTTGCTTTCTATTTCTCGCTCACTTTCTGAATCCTTCCCAGTAGTCCATCTTGTCGAGAGAAAAGTGGGGGAGAAGGGTCAGAGAGAAAAATGGCAGAGAGAGAGAGAGAAGGGGCGAGACAGAGATTTTTCTCTTCATTAGCGGTTGTAAAGAGAGAACTAGCGGAGAGGTTAGAGGTTTTAAGGGATCGATGTTTGCCGTTCAAGGCTCTGAGTCCTGTGGAGGAAAGAAATGTGGCCTCCGTGGAATTTATGAGACCTTCTAGACGTGCACCTTTAAAGAGCTTTGTGATCCCGTACACACACATGCACACAGGACAGCTCTCGCTCACGCACACACACCTATGGAAAGCTTTGGGATGTCATCGATCTGGCCATCTATCAATTTCTTTTCTGTCAATCTCACCCACCTCCTTTCTCTTGTCCTGTGTGAAGCTCTCTAACTCTTAATGAATTGGGTAAATAATGAATTTAACCTTGTGTCCCTGTTTTTTTAACATGCCTTTTTCTTTGCTTTATGAATGTCACATAAAAACTGTCTTGAAAACTCTTACCATGTTTAAATGGTTAACCCTTGCCATAGACCAAGACTTTTATTCATAAAATATGAAAATCTCTGAAAAACATATAATTACCTGTTGACAAATGGGATGATCTAAACAATGAAAAAAAATTAAAAAGCGAAAAATGTTTAGGTAATATTATATATAAAATGTTAAACATAATATAATTCTTACACTATATTATAAAATTATACATTTGTTGTATGAAAATGAATTATTTTCTTATAATAAACTGGGTAAATAATTAATTTTAATGACACTCAACTTTCTCTTGAACTTCAACCAATATTAAAAACTTTAATGGAAGCTTTTTACAATGTTTTATTGTTCTACCCTGGTCAAATAGCCAGACTTTCTTAAAATATGAAAATCCCACATAAAGATGATACTGATCGAAACATAGTAAAATAATAAAAAAATATTCAACAATTTATTTATTTATTTATTTTTACATCTTTAGCATTTAACCATTTTACTATTTATTGTGTGAAATTTATTTATTCATTTATTTTGTGGTGTCAGCTACACCACACTGACTGCTATCAAACCCAGAACATAATTGGAGATGGTGAAAATGACACTGTGGTGGGAATTTCTATTACTTTCACACAAAAGGAAACATGACAGAATTCACCGGTGATGCATGTATGTGCACTGTTATACTTCAGAATCATTTTCACACTTAAGGATGTTAAATAGAGATTACAAGTGAAGAAAAAGTGTTTAAGCACCCTTGCAACCAGGAGAGAGACATGAGTAAGGATCTGAGGAGAGAAACAAGTGATTCTGAGTGTAGTTCAGAGAAATAATTAATGGAATATTGTTCATTAAATTGGGAGAGCAGATCGCAAGAGTGCGGTATCTGTTGTCTTTTTCACATTTTGATAGCGAAATAAAAAGAAAAAGGTGCAATGCAGTGCCTGGTTACCACAGAAGTTATGATATCAGTGTCACATTAAAGATACAAAGTGTTATAATATTTTATGGATGGATAAAACTACACAAAAAATTATATCCCAGGCCATCAGAGTGGCAGGTTATTTGTTGTGCAACATCTGTATTACTTTAGTTATGTCAGGATCTGTCCTTGACCACCTCTAAAATTGGTATCAATCACAATGTGCTATCCGACTGTGTGCCGATCTCCGAAAACATGTTAATTTCAAATGTGACCATAGAGTAATATCTTGTGTCCATTCTCATACTGAACTCTGGACCCTGTGCGTTTCTGAGTTAAAGCTGATCCGCAGTGCTTGGGGTGATCTGTCATTTAGCCAATGGCAGCTATAGTGTGTGTGTGTGAGGGAATGAGAGGGAGAATAACCTGATTCTCACTCGCCGTTCCAGAACTCGTCGTCAGTATATCTTCTCACCTCATTTCCCTGATCGACTGAAATCCCACACACACACGCTCAGGAGAAAGAGAGAGAGGGAAACTGCGTGATGAGATAGCTGGTATCGGGGGCCCTGAGGTGAGCAGAATGAGAGTTTGTCCTTTTTATTGGCTGTAATTAGGATGAGGTCATTACCATGCGCCAAAGGCCTTTCACTGCTGGGAGATCATAAAATGCCACCTGAGCGATTTATATTCCACTCCCAGAATCCTATGCAGCGTTTCACACACATTCAAGAGATGAGGGGATAAGAGAAGACCGTAAATGTATGTGTGCGCACGCACTTGTTCACATAAAAGTTAAAAAAAAAAAAAAAAACATAGCTGGAGACTATGACAATGGTAATATATTGAATAATGCGTAATACAGTATTCCAATTCTAATTTTCGATGCACAATTAACATGCAATTTTGTCTTTCTTTTACAAAGTAAATCCTATCTATCTATCTATCTATCTGTCTTATCGTTCCATTTATCTATCATTCTGTCGTTTTGCAGTCGTTCATCTGCTGGGGTTGCCGTGGCATCTGAAGCGAGTGGAAGGAGAGCTTTATGAGAATGGTATGAGTAAAGATGATCTGCCTCTACCGGGAGCCGATTTCACCTTCACTCCCGTCCACCTGCCAGGACTCAACACTACACAGCCAGGTGTGTGTGTGTGTGTGTGCTACTGAAGTCATCTAATATAAGGTTTCTATACAGTGTGATATCAATTCATTGTTTCACACAATGTGTCTATATGTCAGGTCTTTGCCTAAAGCAGGAGCCAAGAGAGGGTGTGTGTGTGTATTCATTCAGAGTTTATTTGCCATTTAATTAATGGCAGTACACAACAGTAAATTATTTTCTCTCAGATAACCGCTGAGATTATGAGGTCATTTTTTAAGTGTGAGGTGTGTTTGTATCTGTATAATTTGATAAAGTGCAAATTAAAGAAAGTGTCCTTGTTTATTTGAGTTTGTTTTGCCGTGTCCATAGAATAGAATCAAGTAGAATAGAATATATATCTGCACAACTTCGATCAAGTGGTAGGGCAGAGTATATACCTGGGAATTAGCTCCAAGATGTGCATTCATATACTAAAATATAAATATTACAGGAGGTTAAGAAATGCCAAAAGTAATCCTGAAGTCCTGAAGTGATTATTCTATTACAAGTTATTATTGCAATTTAAGTATTATATTAATATATTTTAAAATGTAATTTATTCCTGTGATTGCAATGCTGTAGTTTTCAGTGTCTCATGATCCTTCAGAAATAATTCTAATATGCTAATCTGGAGCTCAGGAAATGTTTCTTCTTATAATTATCAATGATTAAAACATTTGTTATTTGTGCTGCTTAATATTTAGTTCAAGAGAACATCATTTATTTTATTTGTTTGTTTATTTATTGCTATAGTAAAATGTATTTGTAAATTGTGACAAATTGCTTTATACTGTAGCTACTTTCTTGTCTTCAATTACTGTTGTCGTTCCTCTAAATCTTCACTCTATCAATATAGCCTTTTTAATATTTGTTTTTACACATTATGTTGTTCCATCCATATTTAATGAAATAAAATATAGTCCGTTTTTTTGGTAGTCATATTTTAGGACAAGAAAGTAGACAGGTTTTGTTATAGGGGCTCTTTAGCCGACATTGTTTCAGCGACTTCTACCTGATGTCTTCATGTTATGATGCAAGGATGTTCCCCCTGGAGCAACTTACCTCAGGTGTTAAGCGTCTTGCTCAAGGGCACAGTGATCGTAGTTCAAGGATTGCCCTTACAGGGCTCAGACCTGCAATTTTTTTGTTTGTCTAGCACAGATCTTTGACCACTAGGCTGCACTAGCCCAGTTTTTTTTTTTTTTTTTTTTTCTTTTTACATCT